TGCTTTCAAATTATTTTTGGGACAGTAAGCTTATAAAAAAAGTGTGAATAATAGTATCATATTACTTTAGAAATTCAGCTGAGTGTGGTAGTTTTGAAAACACTTCATGCAGAGTCCCAAATCCCATAAGTATAACGGACCCAGCATAAATTCCTCTCTGTGAGACAGGTTTTCATGTTCTAGCAGGCGACCTGGCTGGTAGCTCATGCCTGCATAGGAACTGCTTCACATTATTTTTTTGTTTCTTTGACAATCATGTCGATTAGTTCTTTACTGGAAAACAGTTCAAAATTACTAAAATTTCTGTAACATATATTCTCCCAAAGGAAGTCTTGACTGACGGTGTCATCCTCATCACTGTCATCATTTACCACAGCATCAAGAAAAGCACTCCAATTCATTTTTAGTGTCAAATTCCAAATCTGATAAACTTTGTTCTGATTTGCTTAGAAGTTAGTACTATCCCAATTCATCATCACACAACACAGCTGACAGCTTCTTGCTCCAAGTGCCATGGCAGCTACAAACAAACTGTATGATGCTTATTTATAGAACAAAGGGGACTGTACAGTGGAAGCATTTATATAGAGAAGTGTTTTCGATTCCTACATGTCAGTCACAGCACACTTCTTTAGAGTCAACAAATCAAGTCTAGTTGTAGTTTCTATGCTGGTTTCTCATGGTTACAAATAACTATGTAGAAGCAGCACTGTCTGGGTCATGTATAATACTTCAGAAGCCCAAAAGAATTGACTTTTGATCTGATCAGCATACAAAGACAGCACACACTGTCGATCTAACGTATTTAGTTCATAAGAATTTCCCAAGGTGGAGACAGGTTTGTACGGTAATATAGCACACCAACTGGTGAGGTACAGAACTTTTCCAAAGAATTCAAATGTAATACAAATGCTGTGGGAAGTTCAATGTGGGACGACACATATATGACATGATAGCCTGGTACCTCCTCTTTAATTTCATACCAAAAAAAGTTATTTTACATGAAAAACAACAGTTCAAAATATGAGCTGAACATTACCGCTGCACTATGCATGCTGTGGACGTATGACAGTGACTGGCAGAAACTGCTGGCATGCTATGTATGCATGACTGTGTTGAAGGGTGAATGGGATATGTCCACATACTCATGCATGTGGTCACATGTAGAATGTTCCCTTACAGTGTAAGGTAATTGGCCAGAAACTTGGAAAGTTATTTGTTAGAAGTTGCTTTGTCTTATGATTAATGGAGCATTTATTTTACACCTTAATTTCCCCAGATTTCATCACAGTGGAGTAAACATCTTGAGCAAGTCCTTTCCATCATTATGAATGGGAATTATGCTTGCTCCTTTGATGTTCTCATAAGAATTTCATGGGCTAAATGTATCACATTTTATACCTTCCTGAGACTCATAGTAATAAAAGTAATCTGGCTTTGAAAGCATTAAAATGGCACTAATAATCTTTATGTTTTTCTGTTCCTTTCCTATTGGTAGTGCTACCAAAGAAATACAGACGACCATAACTGGAATCATTTTTTAAAAATGGATATTAATATTTTGTATCCTAATTTTTTTCTAGTCTGTGCTCCACTATTCCACATTCTACAGTTTATCACTGACACTGCCTCCAAGATTGTCTCTGCCTGGAACTGTAGATGGGTTTTATACACTGCAAGAACTGATTGGACATTATGTGGCCAGTCGAGTGGTTAATAATGTTGCGTGTGGTGGCTGCGGATGCCGTGACACTGACCAAATGAAAAGCCTCAGCTTTGGGAAGGTGACTATTGGATCAAATTCCTTACTCCAAACTAATTTTAGTGTCTAGAATTTTGTCATTGGTTACATACTAATCACCAATTGCTTCCATTAATACTATTCACTGATAAAGCTATTTTCATGTGTAGTGGAATCAATAGATATAACTTGCATCAGTTGCCTCACAAGAATCCACATGATACTGTGGAAACAAATTTTCAACATAATTTCTCTAACAGTGTGTGTAGTGCGGTATGATGAGTGACATGTTGATTAGTTCATTTATTTTAGGCGATTGTATGACAGGACATAATTACCTAGACTTTCTGCAGAATGGGTTACCAGAACAACTAGAGGATGTTCCTTTGGCTACACGGATTGCTGTGTACTTTCAACATGATGGAGCCCCTCCTCATTATACCCACTTGTGATGAAACATCTCAGTTACACTTTTCCTAATTGGTGGATTGGTCATGGTAGTATCATTAACTGGCCACCAAGATCTCCACACCTATCCCTGTTTGATTTTTGTTTATGAGGTTGGACGAAGAGTAAGGTGTGCAAAATAAAGCTGGATACATGAGATGACCTGCTTGATCACAATGGATGTTAGTACCCCCCATAAAGGAACTCAGGAGCAATCAGACAAGCAACACACCATGTCCTCACACAAGTTGCAAAGCGCATTGATGTTTATGGTGGAATTTTCTAAAATGTATTGTACTACGTAAACTGTACCAACTTTTGTCACTTGAACAATAAATACTGGTATTAGAAAAACTATATAATATTTCTTTATTATGAGCAGTTTTGGAACTGTACAGTGAAAACGTTTGGAATAGGACACACGTGCCTGTACACCTCCCAGAAAATTGATCTTTCCTTGTTATTTTGGAAATGATTTGTTTCATTTGATTCAAAAACAGCTATTCAGCCTTCTTACAAAATTATTAATGATGAATGAAAATAAAACAATAATTTACCCAGTCTTTTTATATTGCTGTGAGACATGTTGTCTTATTTTGAGAGAAGAACCTAAATTATAAGTATTAAGAAGTATATATTCCTTCAGATGTGACTGACTATGAATACATAAATTACATTAGATGTTTTGTCTTGTCTTGGTCATCATCAGAGGTTTCATCAACATTAACTGAAAACACTGTACATATTCACAATACATATATCTCTATGAGGATCTTATACCTTAGAATTGTAGTTAAAGATAAAATTTTTTAGTTAATTACATCAAGATTAATACTAATGGTTTAATTAAGTACATTCCTGTTGTGAGGAGTGGTGTGTTTATATCTGCAAATATAATGTAGGAATACATTAGATCATGTGTTGATTTAACTATATTATTATGAAGATATGAATGTATGAAAATGCTTACCCATAAGATGTCATATGTTTATATGATGATCTAGTTTATCTTGTGGAGTGTGGTATGGGAGACTAATGTTGGGTTCATCTGTGGTTATATATACATTTTGACGTGTCACGCTAGCTGGATGCCCCCCCCCCACCAGTGGTGACGCGCCGAGCGGAGCTGAAGCGAGCCGAGTCCCAGCACGCTGGTCACTATGCAACGCAGGTAAACAATGGTTGCGAGAGACAACTCCCAACAGCGTTGCTAGCAACACGGCGCCAGACAACAGTGGTGCCTATTACGTGGCTGTTTTCTGCGTTGTCCGGAATGAGGCTAGATACGGAGCAGCGAAGACTATTCATAGTCAGTTCTGAGTTCCGAGCAAGCCTACGAGTTAGTTACAGCTCTCCAGATCTCTAGTTATGAGTCAGTCACCAGTTAATTGCAGTACAGTATTTGTGATACTGCCAATGGCAGTAATTGTGGATCTGTAATTTGTGTGATTGTAAGAGCGAATGTGGAATAAAATTCGCTATATCAAATACAGCGTGAAATTATTTGTCGCATTATACACCCAATACGCGACAATATGTTATATATATATATAACCACAGATGAACCCAACATTCACACGAATGTCTTCATAGGCCCTTTGTTCATGTATCGGTCTGTTGCAATGTTTATATGCATAAATGTGGAAGTTTCCATTTATATTCATAATGCAACCCTTCTCTGCATGGTTTATTAGGTCTATAAGATAAGATAAATTAAAAGCTTTTACTCATTTATGTTGTTTGTTGAACTACCTTGTCTTAGGAACAAAGTTAAGCATAATATGGTGGTGTTAGTGACATTATTGTAGCAGTGCAAGTTGCAAGATAGCAGGCTATGAGAAGCATGCTGTTGACCAGAAAGTGAAAGTAGTGCACGTTTCAATACCTGGTGGGCAAGAAGAATAATGTATGGATTTGCCAGGCAGTTTAAAGAGGACATTTCAGCATTGGATAGAAAAGGTCCTTGCACTTCAAGTATTTGTAGCCTGGAGAACACAGGAGCTCTGGGAGAGACAATACAGCAAAGGTTGAGCAAATAAATGAGAAAAAATGCAGTGGGATTTGGGACATTAGCATTCAGTTAGTGAATGTTTCACTTGGATGCACACATTTCTATTCAAAATTACCATGATACAGAAACTGGAGTGGGGGGGGGGATGCCGAAGAACTGGAAGAATTTTGCTGCTTAAATAATAAATGAAGAGGCTGGACTCCACAGTGCATGGTTTTCTGATGAGGTTTGTTACCATTTGGATTGTGTTGTAAAGAAGCAGAATGTAGGTTCTTGGCTAATGGTGACCCACATCAGTCATCTGACAGAAACATTTATGGTGAAAAAATTACTATATAGGTAGCTTTATGAAGCCATGGAATATTTAAACATTTATTTTTCGTTGACACAGAGACTGTAGTCATTACAAGGCTAAGATATATGAAAACTTTATTACACAGTTTATTTTCTACAGAATTACCACTTAACTGTGTTGTTTATATGCAAGCTGGAGATAGGCTATATGCAGATTGGATTGGAAATGCTCTGAAAATTCATCAGAAACATCATTAGGTTTGATTAAATGATTACCATCAATAATAATAATAATAATAATTTCAATTCATTTCAGTTTCAGTTCTTTATTATTTATATGCTGAGTCAACAGCCACAAGGCCAATTACAGACAGAGCACAGTGTAGATACAAGTGATTACATTATGGACAATCACAACATAAAGTCAGAGACAAATTATAGGCAAGCACTGGAGGAAAAACACATTAATGCAGACAAGTAAACAAACAACAACAACAACAATAATAATAATAATAATAATAATAGTGTATAATATTCATTAGCTGCCAGCTTGTCTCTGCATTCATATTGCACGAACAATCTGGGAAGGAAAACCACTGAAGCGAGATGATCGTGTCACCTTTCCTGAGATACTTGTCATGGATCCATACATGTACAATCACATACAACAGGTAATTGTCAGCTACCAGTTACATGTTTATTAGCACATTACATAAATTAATGTATAATGTGGATGTTGTATTTGCATGTTTCATGTCTGAAACTGCATGAACAGATTTTGATTAACTCTGGCATTAAGGATATTGCTTACCCCAAATATTGTAAGTTTATATTTGATTTACATTTGTGACACTTGAGTGTAATTCTTACTTTATAGTAAACTAAAGTTTAACCTTATAAAATCTGTGTAAATTAGCTCATCGTATAAAAAATTGGTACTTGATGTAAAATATGGCACTCATTAAGACCTACAAATTATATTTGAAACATTTTGTGATATATTGAACATTCAACAGAATAAAAGGAGAAATAATGAAGTTTCTGATATAAGCTACCATCTAGCTACAGGCTGGATGATTAAAAAAAACTGGAGTTTGATTCTGTGGGTGGGCAGGAGAAGGTAGAGATTTTTCTCTTTAGCACCCCCTGCTTGACTGACTGGGTCCTATCCAACATCATAACCAGTGGGTGGTGGGTTTCCTTTCCTGGGAGTAAAGTGTCTGTACCTCTGTTTCCCCACGTGTTCATTTATGTGATGCTTAATTAATCTCATGAACATTTGCAGTGTTGTATCTGTAGCTTTGCAAAAATATATTTTTGTATGAAGTAAATGAAAACAAAGGCCAATTTGGTAGGCAAAACAACAGAAATTATATTTTCATTATTGTTATTCCATTGGAGAACACCTTTCAGTTCTTGTTTATGATGAGGTTTAATCTATTAACTGACGACCATTGGAAGTGAACATAATTATTTTTAATGGCAGAAGCATAATGATATAGCTGATTGAGAGCTAGTAATTTTTACTGATAGATGAAATCAGGCCTCTACATTTTCCTCCCCTGCTTACAATGGGCAAGTGAATAGAGATTGTGACAAGCATGCTATGTAGAGCATATAGTAACTTTTAAATAGACATTTTTCCTGAGGGTATTTCTCTTTCCCAGAGTATATTCTAAATAAACCAATAAAATTTTCCTACATCTTTTATTTTTATGTAATTTTTCCTTTTGCAATTCATTTGTCACTATTTTATTCCTGGGTACTTATAATGATCTACTTTCTATTATGGTTGGTTTATCTTTTCAATTTTTCAATTCTTATGGCTTATTTTTATAACCATACACTTATCCAAATTGACATTTCATCCAAAATCTTTATATGGGTTAAAGTCCTATTATGCGGTTTCATTTCTGGGGTACTTTCATTGGTTCCTTGTACCTGGCATATACTTATATCATAGTTTTTGGTATTCCACTCTCCTATCCGTTATGCTTTGTTAATATATCATCCTTGTCTGAACCCTATAGTAGTTTTAAAAATTTTAGTTTTTGCAGTTTGTGTTTATTTTTACATTCCTCATAAATGCTGTTTATTCTCTTCATTAGCCCTTTAGAAACACTTACTTTTTGTAATGCTATTCCAATTTCCTGTCTTTATATTATATGTTTTCAGTATCATTGATAGCCTTGCCACTTTTTAAATTATTTTAATACTTTTAAAATATGCTACCCTGTGTATGTTGATGCTATGCATATTAAAACTAGATACCACTTTAATAAATTTTAAGTATGTTTTTAATTCCTTTTCTTATTATGAAGCATTTTTTCAGAAGCAACTGACAGTCAGTGAACTGTCGGTAGGTCAACAGTCATTCACCAATGGGTTAATTGAGCTGCCTTCAATGAGGAAAAGGTATGTTTAGAATTTTAAATTTGTAACTGTTTTCATTCTGTTTATAGGAATGTTGCCCTATCAATTCCAGTTGCAGTTATTCATGTTCCAGTACAGAGTATCATACAAAATAAACTTCATCTTAAGTTGTTAAACTGTAGAGGCATAAATTCATTTTCAAAATCCAGTTTAATAGAAAGTTTAATGTAGGATATTCTTGAAAATGTATGAATTTTGAATAAATATTTGACCATGTAGATATCCATATAGTGTTATTATATGACCTTTAACAACACATTTGCAATAAACAAACAAATATTACTCTGTTAACATTTGTTTATTATGTATACTTGCTACATGTTTTTATCCAGCTGGATCATCATCAGGCAGTTTTCATAAAGTATAGTCCTCGTTATTGAATTGTATTTCTAATGTGGATCCATATTAGTGATCATTAAAGTTAAGAATTTTTCCGTTTATTTTAGGATGAAGTACAGATATATGGTGTTGTATCATAGAGGTGGCTTTCTGGGAGTCAGCATTGTTTAATTCTTTGTGCACCTGAGAATAGATTATAGATATTCTAATATGGTTCAATATTGAGTGATGTATAATCATATGGTTGTTGTAAATGGTTACTTACATATTATATGGCAGTTTTCTGTATGTAAGTGATGTTATGTTCTATTTTCCTTTTGAATGACAGTGGTAAAGTTATTCTGTAATGATAATGGATATTTTAGTAGTTCTTTACATGTCTTATTTGTTATTTCCTCAAATTTTGGTTTCTTTTAGTTCCATGTATGTTGTGTGTGTCCTGTATGGGGGTGCCACGTCTACTTGTTATTCTATCCCATTCTGTGGTTCTTTTTGTACTAACTACTACTTAATATCATGGTGGATATGCTTCATAGGTCATGTGATGTTCACAGAATGGGGTGGTGGTGGTGGGGGTATGTTTGGGGGTGTATTTTATTTATTATTGTGATGGATATGTTTTCTATTATTATTTTATTATTATTTGTGTCTGCAAAGGTATCTTTCATTTGTAATCTTTGTTTATTTAAATTATATATGTGAAATCATTCAAGTGTATTTAGTGATTGATCTTTCTTTTAAATGTGTAAAAGTAAAGAAAGTAAAGGTATCCCTGTAACAAGCCGTGGAGACCCATAAGGTTGTGAGATGTTGAGGTTTCCACATTTTCTAGACAATCGGCTCATAAATGGCGGCAAGGTTGTCAGCCTTATGCGCTGGCTGCCCTTTACCCCCAAGAATATTCCTGGTACCCATTTCTGTTAGAGGCTGAGTTGACCCCAGGGCCATAATGCGGCTGGAAGGATTAAGTCAATTGAAAAAATCCAATGACCTCATTGGGACTTGAACCCTCTACCTTCCGGCTTGTAGCATAGTGCCTCAACCAACTACGTTATCACATGCCCCATTCTTTTCAATGTGTAGTATCTGTAATTTTAGTTGATTATGTCATGTGTGTCCTATTTCAAGAAAATGGTGAGCATATTTTGATTTCTGTTTGTTTGTTTTTATGGCTTGGATGCATTCTTTGTATCAGACTTTAAGTGTACATCCTGTTTGTCAGATGTATTTGAGTGGACACTTGCTACATTTTAATTGGTGTACTTCACTTTGATTATGTGTCTTTTGTTCTTTCCCTTGGTTTTAGGTGGTTTATTATTGTATTAGTAAATTTGAAAATTATTCATATGTTAGTGTTCTTGAAAAATTTTTTAATTGTTCTTATATCATCCTGAGGGGTAGGAGTAAGAGTCCTGGTAGGGTCAAGAATTTTCTCTTCTCCATGTCATCCAGACCAGCTCTGGGACCCACCCAGCCTCCTATCCAATGGATACCGGGGGTTCTTTCCACGGAGGGTAAAGAGACGGGTGTGAAGCTGACCACTTACCTTCACCTAGTGACAAGGTCAAGAAAATGTGGATCTCTACATCCACTCCTCCATACACCTTCATTGTGTAGTGCTTAATTAGTTAAGCACAAGGGACAACTTTACCATCTTGTATTAATACCGTAATATGTGTAGGTGGTCCATTTTGAGTTTTATGTCTTGTGAATTATTGGTGTTTTGGGTGTGTTATGTGTTGATGATAATCGTTGGTTTCTAATATTTGTCTTATGGTTTTTAATTCTTGGTATTCGTCTTCATGAGTAACTGAATATGTGTTCATTCGATTAATTTAGTAGCTTATGACGGATTTCTTACATTCATATGGGTGGCTTGAGTTATTATGTATAGTTATATCAGTAGTAGTGGATTTCTGGTATACACTGACTGTTAATTGGTTGCGTTTGTTTGTGATAGTTAAGTCTATGTAATTTAGTTTTATAGTGTTTTTCTTTTTCAGTAGTGAATTTTATTTTTGGGTGTATTGCATTGAATTCCATTAAGACGTTCTCCATATTTGTAGTGTGTGTGTTATATAGAATTAATATATCACCTATATATCTGTAGTAATGGATGATTCGGTGTTTATTTAGAATTTTGATGAGTTTTGTATATTTTAAATATTATATGAATGTCTCAGCAAAGACTGCTGATGTAGGCACTCCCATTGCTAATCCTACGTCTTGTTTATAGAATGGTTGATAAATTGTAAATAGTTTTGTTCTGGAATGGTGTTTAATAGGATTATTAATTCATGTTTTTTGTATTTGGATGTGTGGTTATCGTTGAGAATTTCTTTTATTATGTGTTTTACTTCTGTTGTTGATATATTAGTGTACATGTTTTCAATATGAGTTTTTGTATTTTCATCTATGATGATCCAGCTGGATCAAAATAGGATGCAGACAATAAAGATATAGATATCCCACCAAAGTTTCTTCCTTATGTATACTACTGTATCAACAGCAAAAGCGTTAGCCTTCAAAAGTTTTAAAGGTTGAGTAATGTGCTCTAACCGAATTCTGTCCCTTCCACAGATTCAAATATCTTTACCAACTTACAGCTGTAGTGGTTCATAAAGGTGGCTTGATTTATGGGCATTTTGTTACATATAGGAGAGGAGCTGGCAGTTACTACAACAGGTATGATCTTTAGAGCACTTATGGAAGCTTGTTAAGTGGTGTATGTGCTGATGCTGTGTACCTTGTGCATGTAGATTATACATAGCCTCAGAGAGTGGAAGCACAGGAACAGAGCTAACAGAATGGCTCATTTGAATCTAGTGGCATAAGAAGCTTTCCTTCAAAGTATTATGGTTTAGCAGATACCTACTTCTGCCAGCTCTCATACAGTTGGAATTACTGGGTTTCTGTACCTTGTCCATCGAAAGAACACAACATTTCAGAAACACATCCAGTTTTCAACACATTTTTTTTTCCAGAATACTAGATGACAGAAGAAATCCCGTATTCCCAAGTGTAATATACTATCATTAGAACCTGAAGAAGTTTCTCGTGCTGCTCTTTGAAAGTTTCTTCAAGCTGTCACATGTGACCCCATGCATTGCATTCCTCACAGTTAGTTGAACCTCCATGGCTTCTTTGGAGTGACAGTCTTTTAAGTTAATCTTCATCTTTGGAAGCAAGTAAATATCATTATTGGCACAAAAGCCCTTTTCGAGTCATAGCCTTCCTTAGAAGATTCTGCCAGACTTGTCTGTTCAGTCATGAATTATACCATCTGCTTTTCACTTCATTGCATTTTGCAACATTATTTTTTTACAGAGCAAGGTCATTAGCCTTGCATCCAAACCCCAACCTGGAGGCTGACGTTTCTGTATTTATGTTCCCCAGTGACACAGTGATCCAGTTATACCCCAGGCACCAGGATCCCTTTTTGTCACCTTCTGTGACTCACAGGGCTATAGTGAAGGTATTCTAACCCACCTGCACATGGTACCAAGTAAATATCACATAGTATGAAATTGAGAAATTAGGGAGTTGTGGGTTACTGCTGTACAAGCAGTGATCACTGTGTAAGGGCACTGTCATGAAAGAGCACCAACCTTTGACTGCACACATTCTGAGGTTCTTCAGGCAAACTACTTCCTGTAAATGAGTGTGTATTTTTGTTGACTAAAGCTTCTTAACATGTGTGCTGCTACTGCTGCCAGTGAATGGCTGGTCCCAGGAGTCAATACTATGTGAGTTTATGTACTATATGAGGGTGGTCAGAAAATAAGTTTGCAAGGCATATAATGAAAAATTATGGGTAATATTGATGTCATCCCACGACTTTTCAACACAGTCTTGGCAAAAACTGAGACAATTCTCGTATTGTAAGATTAGTTTTTCTGTTTGCTGTTGGTAGAAGTCCATGCCCTTTTCACTCAGCCATAATTTAACTGTTGTTTTGTGATGTCTTCACTTTGAAACATGTGGTCTCCAGGTTGTTTGTTCAACACTGGTAGAAGACATTAATCACCAGAACAGGGCTATGTGAAGGATGCTCCAATTTTCATACTGGAAACTGTAAAAGTTGTTGGGTTATCCAAGATAGAGTGTGACTATGCATTGTCATGCAGAAACAGAACAACTTTTCAGAGAATTCTGGCATGTTTTCATTTAATGTCTACTTGTGAACATACCAGTTTAGCACAGTAAGTTGCTGCATGGATTGTTGTGCCTTGTGCCAAATGACTGTAGCTTATCACTTTGCCATTGGATACAGGACAGACTTCATTAGTGGCCTACTGTCACACTCAGGTATACATATTCAGCTGACCTATACCCACAGTAAGCAATAGATGGTGTGTGTTTCAACATGCAGTGTTCCCAGCCATGATTAGCAACTCTCTCTTACATACCCACAATAAGTGAAGGTTCTTTAGTTATGAGATGATATGCCATGTAAACTTACTTTCTGACAGCCCCTTATGCAGTGCACATGGTAGTTGTTCTACCACTGTATTTTAATTTTCTACAAGGTATTCTTCAAAATTGCTCATGTCATGTTACTGGCACTGGTAAAGGGTGGTCCATATTCTGTGAATGTCAACTCATATCGCTTCAGCGTGGAGTTATATATGCAAATCATTGATTTTGTATGTTCTTGTATCTATTTCTGAACAGAACTGTCTTATTATAGTAGAACTTTAATGTAGCAGGTATGAAGAGGACTATATGTTATGAATGGATTCCATTATACTAGCATTCTTTTACACAGATTATGAATATATTCTTTTATTTTATCTGTGGTATTTAGGATAATCTTTGTCATGTGAAAGTTTTTGTTATAGCAGTTAATGGAGGAGTTGTATTAATGTGTTTATAATTAATTTTTCAGTTGGTACTACACTTCAGATGCAGAAGTACGTGAAGTGACACTACATGAAGTAATGCAAGCTAGTGCCTATATGTTATTCTACACAAAACTCGCCAGTTCTGCATCTCCTCACAATATAAATTAGTACACAGTTTTATTAGTTGTGTTTGTGTGATGCTTATTATGTAAATGGTATTCAGATTGTGTTTCAAGATATGGTTTGCCTTTTAACACCAGATGCAGCAACATTATTGCCAGTTATACCAAACAATATATGTAGTGCCATCACCTGGTATATTTATCTCCTTAATTTTATTGTCTCTCAGAATAACATATTATTGTAGAATGTCATCCTTCTATAATAAAATGCAAATAAATATTTGATAATGTGATTGTGATGGATACCATTTAAATTCGTGTACTTTTTTCTTGAAGTTTGAATGTTTATATTATTTACTTATTTTATTTATGTTAAGTATTGTACAATTAACTTTTGCGCATTTTTATATGCAGATGATGATGATGATGATGTGCCTCAGCTGCCTATCTGTCATTAGGAAGAAACTTAGTAGAAATATATGTTGGAATTTAAACTGAAATTTGAGGTTTTCACAGCAGTGAAAATTTATTCTGTGGTCTTCAAGGATATGACCTGAAGATGGAGGTGGTATGTTGGTTCAAGACATTGGTAACCACCTACCAGATCGCAGCATGGTGTCTTAATCCATAGGGCAATATGAAAATTAAATCAAGGTATGGATATAGGAACCTAGTATGAAGTTACAATGTGTGTCCTGACAAGTAGTCATTACCATCTGGTTGAGGAAAGAAATTCATCAAAATTAAAACCATTTAATGCTATGCATTAGTAACAAAGTAAAAAAAAAGTATTGCTGCAAAGACACTGCACAAACCTTCTCATGTACAATTCATCATGACTGTGCTATTTTGGAAATGAATTTCATTATTGCTTGGTAGGCCACCGTTACTGAATACTGACCAACAGTGAAGCTGTCTGGCCAGTAAAATCAGTTTTTACAAATCTTACATTTCACATTTGGACCCCTAGAGTGTGCTCTTATTTTCCTGAAGCTTCGACCTGTGCAGTTGTGTTTAGAGAGGTGGTCTCCTTAAATTATACGTTATGTGAAACATCACCAAACCAGAGCCATGTCATAAGAAGAAGGGAAGAGCAAGGGGAGAGCAGGATGGCAAAGGGCCTGATTGTACATGTTCAGTATAACTGAAATAATTGCTACCCGCTACTCTCTTCTGTTGGTTCTTGTGTGTCTGAGCTGTTGCCTTCTTCATAGCTGCCATTGTCACTCTCCACACCTCTTGGACCATGGTAGGGTCAATTGCATTGTCAGAATGTAAATTCTTGCCATGATACTCATTCTTGAACTTCCTCAGGTGCTCGCATTATGGCCTTAACTCATTTTTCCCCAATACTGTGAAATATTTCTTCACGCAGATGCTTCATGTCTTCCATACCTCAAGTGACATTTCCTAATGCAATCTGACCTGTAACTGCTGTCCACATATTATCATTTGGGTCCTTATGATTGAGTGGCAGGCAGAGTGCTGTGTGTCCATGAATTTCAGTCTTTTTATATACTGAGTACTGAACTTGCTAGGGCTTGCACTACTTAATGAGCTGGTAAATTTTAGATTTCAGCTGACATCAGCAAGTGGAATATTATGTTTTTGAAACTACTGCTGCCTGGAACTTTTGGTAGAGTTGGATATCAGAATGTTACTTATTTTTACATTATGATCTTGCTGCCTGTATGAATCATGATTAAATATTTTCCTTTAGACTCAGGTGTAAGCAGTCCATTCGAAGAATTGTCACTCCAGGACTTATACTGAACATGCTGAAGATAGGAGATACAGCTCATCCATATATGATATGTGATCATTTTCATTCCTTAATCACTGCATGAATGTTGGATGCTCTGTTCACTTGTCATGAATGTCTGACTTCTTAATCAGTAGAAGATGCTGTGATGCAGTTTTCTGCTACCCAAAATCAATTTAAAGTTGTTCTCTGTGATACTGCAACTTTGAAAGTTCATGTCACGTTTCAGCTTTCGCTGAAGAATTTCAGCGGTGGAACACAATTTTTGGTAATGTAGAAGTTATGAATAGTGCTGTGATCTACAGCTTTGTCAAATCCATCTAATTGGTATTTTGATGGTTCTGCCTTTGTTTAGCTGGATGTCAAGAATAATGTTCCTTCTGCAATATCTGACCTGTTTGCCTCTCCTTTAATTACATGTATTGTACTGCAAGACACTACTATTGCTTGGGCTGTTCACAGCTGTGCTTTCTTAGTTAGAATGGATGGTTCCTTATTTCATGCCCTTTGATGAAAGTAATTGCATTACAGATTGTTTGTTGTGTCTGTAAATGTAATTTTGATACACTACTTTGTAGTTCTTGTGGAGTCACATGCCTTAATCCTTATGCTGTACTTCTTTAAACTAAACATAATAATTTCACTTTTGGCAATACAAGGAAGAATTGGATTGTCCCTGTATACATTGTTGCTTGGCAGTCTTCCCGTCCCTTTGTGTACCTTGGTTGACTGGCCTACTCACTATGTGTAACAAACAATGATGTTTTGAGACATTCTGCTGCAAGAGTACTGGAATTTATTCTGTTTCCTAAAAATTATCATGGTGGGAGTAAGTGAAGGGGCCCCTGTTTTGGAGCTAGACTGTTCATATTTGTTGGGCACTGACTTATGATGGATGAAATCATAAATATTTAATACAAGAAAGATTCAGCCATTTAGATGCTGGTGAGGTGCACATCCATGCATATATGAACAGGTGGCATTCAAAAAATTACACTATGCATTCATGGGTGCTCAGAATGGCCAAATCATCAAACACTTAAGATCATTTCCTTTGATGATCACAGTGATTTCTCATTTAAAGTAATTATGTTTATGAGGAAGTAAAAGCCAATGCAAAGATACTGCACATAGTTGGTTATACCATTGTTTTTATGAAGATACTGCCAATGCAGTTCTGTTTAGGAAGATGTTCTCCTTAAACTAGTGAATTTTAATCAATACTTTTGGATAAAATCAATATTTGAAGGGCTCCTATTTTTGGAGCTAGAATGTTCATGTTTGTTGGGTACTGATCTCTTGCATATGAATAAAATCGGTCCTAACCTTCAGGTGCTAGTCAGCCAAAAGATTTTGAACTAGAACAACGTGGAAAGGACCAGAAAAGATCATTCTCATCTTCGTGGTTTGATAAGAAAGCTGGTTAAGTTTAAGTGAAGAGTAAGAATCATTCGTTTGTTTCGTTGTGTGTTTTATTCGGTAGGGATAAGAGCTGGACATTATCAGGTATTCAGGAGTTGAAGCATCTTTCTTAACGAGTAAAAAAACATGAGGCGTCGGCTTTGCACATTGATAATGAAGTTAAATTACTAGGTTCTGTCAACGTACTTGCTCAGTTAAATGAGGTATTCATTCATCAGTAATCTGTCAGACGACAGGTCCACAGTCTCTTCCAAAACAGTTCCTCCACTTAATGCGATCTAGAGCTTTCTCCTTCAAATGAGAATATCCTCTTCTGTCCCCAAGGTCATCCAGCATCTTCTTAAGTCTTCTTCCCCGTCTTCTGGTCACTTCTATTCGTTCATGTGTCTTACCTTCAATAACTTCTTTTAGAAGGCAGATACTTCGTAAGATAAATGAGGTATATCGTACTTCAATTTAGCGCCACAATAAGTTAGTAGATACGAATAGGCACGTGTTAGAATAATAAACTGTCTGAAATTCCGCGGAACTCATGAACTTTCATTTCGAGGGCGTGATAAAACTCAGTAATCTCCCAATCGAGGCGTTTTCCTGGATTTACTATCGGTAGTGGCACATTTGGATAGTATTCTAGAATAACATTTACGTACTTCAACTGTATCAAAATACACCTCTAAAGCAATACAGAATGAATTATTAGTGTGTATGTATCAAGTGTGTATATAAACAATGACGGAGGAAGTGAAGACAGCCAAGTACGTGCCAGTGCAAACCGATGGAACACGTAACATAAGAGGAAGATTAAAGATAAAAAATTTCCGTGGAATTGGTGGCTTATTGGTAAGGCACCGGTGTAGCGGGTAGAAATTCCGAGGTTCAGGACCAACCAAAGTTTTGTAAAACAGACTAATAAGATTTTTCTGGAATTAGGGCTCGAGGTGTAACATAAGAGGAAGATTGAAGAAATCAACATTCTGTGCTGTTGGTGGTCTATGGGTAAGACACTGGCCTAATGTGCAGGAGTTCCGAGGTTCAGAACCAACGAAAGTTTTATAAAATACAAATGGAGTTAATAAGATTAACAAGAAAATATTTAAAACTGTAGCGCCATCTGTTGAACATTACAACAATATCTGTTCAACAGATGGCGCTGCAGTTTTCGTATTTAACTGACTCTCGCTGATTTAGCTTAGTGACTGCGTGATAACACACGCAGTCACAGGAGCAAGACACAACACAAAGCACAATACACACACGAAAGTAGGAAGAGTGCTCCGAGAGAAGAGGATAGGTGTGACTCGCGTATTGAGATGCGATGTAGGGATGAAAAATCCTGAACAGTTTTAATATTTTTAATATTTATCAATATATATGATGAACATATATTTTAGTTATTTTAGTATGAAGACGGCAAGGCATGCAGTGAAGTAGTTTAACGTAAATCGAAAAGCACCTGAAGATGGCACCTTTGTGCCGAAACATGTAGTGCAGGAGAGAAGAGTGAGGTGGATGAGTGTATGCACTGTAGGACGGTTGGAATAAATCATGGACATAGTCTCAAGTTATTAACTTTCTGCGTGACCCCAAGAGCGATTGTGCGTACCATCCCACGCTTCGCTATCTGTGGAGTAATGTTCAACAGATGGCGCTTTTTATTATTTCGTATGAATATGAATACTATGGAAGCGCGAGTCCCGGTAGGATGAAGAATTTTTTCCATGTAATCCAGACCGGCTAGGGGGTCCACCCAACTTCCTATCCAGTGGATGCCGGGGGCTCTTTCCCCAGGGGGTAAAGCGCCCGGGGCTGACCACTCACCTCCAGCTAGTGCCGAGGTCAAGAAAATGTTGATCTAGTCGTATACACCCATTCGCCTTCATGGCGTAGTGCGTAATTAATTAAGTACAGTGGCCGCGCCATAGCTCAAGCGGTTAGTCGCTGGCTTCCCACCGCGGCGGCCCGGGTTCGATCCCTGGGTCTGTTCAAGTGGGATTTGTGGTGGACAAAGTGGCGCTGGGGAAGGTTTTCTCCGAGTACTTCGGTTTCCCCTGCCACTCACCCTCGCCTATCTGCGGCTGGTACAATAGGCCAGAAGTGACCGCAGTACGAGGGACTTAGTCCCACCCGATCCCACCCCACTAGCAATAAAAAAAAATAGTCAAGCACAGGGAAAAGTTTACCTTTTTACCATCGCTTATATCTATCGATGCGAATCCTACAAGAGGTTTGTGCCCTATCTCAGCAAGCTGAGCCTTCCGTAGGCTAAAATTCACTGGTTTTCATTTTTTAAATCGCACGATGTGATCATGCTAGTGCTGCTTCCCAGTGGACGCAGACTGTACTAATGAGCGGACAAAGGACCACAACAACTGAAATGGGTAGCAAAGCACATTTCGATGGTTTTAATGTCGTGAATGTTGCTGAGTAGAGTGTAGGTGTGGGTGTAGGTAAGCATTGTGTTTGTGTAATTAATGTGTGTATTATTCAGGGAATGATTACGAGCACTAGAAAAATTTCACTCGATTTCTTCACATTTCTAAAAATTGTTGGACGTAAACGACGTCACGTTTTGTGACCGTGATGTTCTGCTGTTGCAAGTTCTGCTTTGAATTCTTGTAAACTTTTAAGCTCCTTTTCTGAACGTCATGTTTCCTTTAGATTGCAAGTTTTTACAGTTAATAACCTTTCTCCCCTGTTACATATACCAATCCGACTTATAAAGGAAGTCATGAGAGCAATTGGTCAATGTTGAACTTTAATTGTTTCTTGCATCCTGTTGTGTATTTAATCAATATTAGGGTTAATTTCACCGACCACACAACGCGTTTTTATTATTGTCACACTACATGTTTCGACCTCAAGAGGTTATCCTCGTACAGTTGCACAATCACACGCAATCACGCAATGAGCAATACATTGAGCCTCGTAGTTCTTCTGAGAAAACCAAAAAATCCACACTAATATTGTCTTTGTACACAATCAGTAGTATTTTTTCTAACAGGCTTTGGCAGCTTTTCCAAGTTATGTAATGGTACACTTGTTAGAAATAAGATACTGTATCGCAAGGATTCTTGTAAGTGAATTAATTTGCAACCCACAAAACATCATGTGTGATTAAAAATATATTCAGAGTTATGAAAGATTCTGCATTCTTTTGCAACAGGAATGCCAAGAATTTTACAGAGAGCTGAAGAAATATTTCCTGCTCTGAGAGAAAGCATGGTGAGTGTTTTGTGTTTAAGTGCACTGAAAAGAGTTTTATTGTCATCGTCTGTCAGTTCTTGTGGCCTAAGAAACTGAACATTTTATGACAGGCTTGAGTTAGTTTTTCATAATCTCCCTGGTAATTTTTTTTAACACACGGTTGTTCATGTTACAGCCGTTTGGTATTTTATGTGGAGAATGATCAATTCAGGGAGAGTGTAATGGGTAGGTCATGTAACACATATGTGAGAATGAGAAATGCGTACAGTGATTTGGACAGATGACTTGAAAAAAAGAGACCACTTGGGAGACATTTATGTAGAGGGATTTTAAGGAAATAATTTGGGAGAGTTCGGATTTATTTTGTTCCGTCCAGGATACAGAACCATGATGGGTATGTGAGGACACAGAAATGAGCCCTTAGATACCATAAATAGCTGATAATTTCTGTACTGCTGCAATGACCAGCTGATAATTTCTGTATTGCTGCAATGACCGTTAGTTTCTCATGAAGGTCCTTGTGCTGTTTACTTAATACTTACTAATGATTTTGAATGTTCTGGTGAAGAAGTCTGTAAAGAACAGCTGTTATGGATTGTATGTAATGAAAGACAGCCATAGCAAGGAAAGCATATGCTGTTTCTTGTATGGTGTTCTACAGCGTTAATTGATAAAGGTATGATGGTTTTACAGAGCTATACAAATTCAGAGAATGTTTTAGTGGGTCCATATAGTGAGATATACCCAGCGTGTCATGATGGAGATCAGGCCATGAGCGTAAGAGATGAAGTTTCAGACACAGAAGAGAAACCAGATCCTGTGCCAGTAGCAGTTCAGGAAATAAAGGCCGAACCTGAGGTGAGTTGGGTGTGAAGTGTGTATATAGTTGTAGTTACTTGAATGTTCCTTGTGATGTGTCGCTTCCACTATTTAACTCTTTGACTGGTGTGGGCGCATTTTTGCACCCAGACGATGCCAGCCGTTCCCTGGCGTTGGCGTGTTTTAGCGCTTTGATACACCCTTCCCTTCTTTGCTCGCTTGGCACTCATCAACCAAAGACATATTTATGATAGTTTTTGTGAATGGTTGTAAAGAAGCCTTGTTGACTTTGTGGGGGTCTATATTACTGTCAGAACCCTCCGAGTAGGAAAATGTCAGAAAATATTTCACATTCATTCAGTTTCACCATGGCTTCTCGCAGCAAGTGTCTGAGTGTTCCTACAGACCAGCTGGAAAGTGTTGTGAATGAGATTTGTGCTGATGATGAAAGTGGTGATGAAATAATGATTCCTGAATTAGATGAAGTTGATAGTGACAATAATACAGTGATAGACAATGATCCACAAGACAGTAATCATGAACATTGAGCCACCACAAGTGTAGTGCCTGACATGCCCATCTCATGGACGTACGGAGACATTGTACCAACAATAGTTCTGGGATCAAAATTGATATAACACATGAAATGCATCACTTTTCAATAATTAAAATTTTCTGGATGACGGTTTAGTAAATCACATCACAACTGAAACCAATCGCTATGCTCTCCAGCACTTCATCACACGAGTTAGCTCCCCACTCTTGAGAACACAATTAAAAATATGTCACACCAAATGAAATGTGGACATACTTAGGAATTGTGTTTTCTTCATTTTGCAGGCAACAATGTATGACAAGCTGACTGTGAAGGTCGCCTGTATGAAGTTAGGCCAATTATAGACTCATTAGTGGGGAAATTTAGAAACACATATATCCCTGAAAAGGAAATTTCAATAGATGAGGGAATGATCGCTTGGAAAGGATGTCATATCTTCTGAGTATATGTATGCCTGACAAACCTGATAAGTACGGTATAAAGGCTTATCTTGTTTGTGAATCGACAAGTGGATATACAGTAAAACTTGGTTATAGCAACATCGGTTTCTGCGACACCTTGTCTATTGCGTCAAATATTCAATGGTACGAACTAATTCCTCATAAAGCAACTGTTTTTATACCTTGCTTAGTACGACATGCACAAATGCATCAACCTCGTATGTAACGTCATTTTTATTCCTGAATTTCTCTGATATCGTGGGAAAGTTCGATATGTCTGCCCGCCCTCACTTTCTCTACTTGCTGACGTGACTGTCCTGGAAGAATACGACCGCGGGCTGCAAGAGGAGCATGGGTTTTATGCGAAAACAAGGGTGTGGGGTGGTTTAAATGGTTTAAGCAGCAAAGAAGTGATAACAGACCAGTTAGTGGCCCTCTTCTTATGGTGAAAGCTGAAGAATTCGCAAAAAAGTTAAAGGATGAAGAATTCGTTTGTAGTGCTGGATGGATTGATAGGTTCAAGTTGCGTCACAACATTACGTTCAGTAAAGTGAGTGGTGAAGCCAGGGGTGTAAATACGACGGAGGCACAAACAGACCACGATATTGTATCGGAAGTGAAGAAGGAGACAGAGGAGGAAGGTGAGGAGGGAGGAGAAGAATATTCCGAAGTCTCCATCCCTACTGTGAGTGACGCGCTTGAAGCCATTAGGGTTGTGAACTTGTTTTATGAATCCAGGGGAGGCAGCAGTGAAATTGTGACAAAAATTATGGACATTGAACGTAATTTAGAAAGTGTGTATTGGGCAAGTAACAGGAAACAGATGAAGATAACTGATTACTGTACTCGTATCTAGGTACAGTAAGGCACAACAATTGATGTAATCTACTGTAATTTGGTGAGTAGGCCTACCTTTAATATACAGTATTAGTGCGGTGTGTATTGTCAGTGAAAAGCGCTGTAATATGTCTTTGATATTACACATTTGGGCAATTCCACGTTAATGTTACGTTAGTCTGTACTTAACTACGTATTTCACTAAAAAATGCAACATTTTAACTCGGTTTTTGGTAGATTTTTACGTGACTAACATAAGGCTACTGTGGAAGTGCCCATTTCCGTTACAACGACATTCGTTTATAACGACACTATTTTTAGGTCCCTTTGATGACGTTATAACCAAGTTCTACTGTATTTGGAATTTTGAAATTTATTGCGGAAAATCAAGACCTATAAAGGAATTAGCTGTAGACATTATATCAGTTTGGTATATTATGTAGGAGAGCGATCAACTCAAGTAGAGTGATGTGGGTAGGTCATGTAGCACACATTCAAGTGTGAGAAATGCATACAAAGTTTTGGACATGCAGAGAGAAACAGACTACTGGAGCCCTATGTGTATGTGGAAGGACGCTATTAAGACAGATTTTAAAGAAATAATTTGAGAGGGTTTGGACTGTGTCTAGTTTCCTCAGAATACAGGGCCAAGTTGTCCCTGTGAGACCACATTAAGGAGCCCATAGATATCATCAGGGACACCAATCACTCAGCCACTGAAGAATTTTCCAACATATTATGGAGCCTGAAAGTTCATTACCATGTTTACAAGAGCCAGCCAGTAGTCCCTATAATAAGCCAGATCATTCCAGTCCACACCCCTCAATCCTTCATCGCTCTAAAATTCATTTTAATGTTATCTTTCACCTAGGCCTGGGCATGTGTCATGACCCTGGGGTCAACTCAGCCTGTAACAGCAATAAATACAGTTCTTAAGGCCGCGACATAACATCAAGCGGTTAGTCGCTGGCTTCCCACCAGGGTGGCCTGGGTCCGATCCTGGGTCTGGTCAAGTGGGGTTTGTGGTGGACAAAGTGGAGCTGGGGCGGATTTTCATTGAGTACTTCAGTTTCCCCTGCAGATATTCATTCCACCAAATTCACCATCATCATAATCACCCAAGGCAGGCTACAGTAGGCCAATCAGTGGCTGCCCAGTTGGACTCCACCTCCCACTAAGCGAATTAAAAAGGAATTATACAGTTCTTAGGTACCATAAGAAACAGATATTTTCCATGCTGCTGCAGTGGCACTAGTTAGGCAGGAAGGTCTCTCTGCTATGAGCTTAATACATTCTAATACTTTTGAAAGCTGTAGAGAAGAAATCTCTACAGAACAGCTCTTATGGGCTAGAAGTGCTGGAGAAGCACTGTAGGTAGAAGAGCATAAGCTGTTTTGTGTATGGTCTTGTACAGCCATGATTGATATGATATGGTTTTGCAGAACTATGCAAATTTAGAGAAGGTACTAGTGGGTCCACATGGTGAAATGTACGCAGCATGGCATCATGCAAACGAGGCAATGAATGTTAAAATTGAGGAAGTCTCAGATGCAGCAGAAGAGGATCCTCTGCGAATAACAGTTCAGGAAATGAAGGCTGAACCTGAGGTGAGCTGTATGTTTTTGTTTGTCCACTATTCAGAAGATAGCACAGATATGCAGAAATTCCAGTTGTCTTTCTGATCTCCATCTCTGTCTATGCAAATGGAACAGTTTCACTGTGCTGCCAACTGACTTTGGGAGCTTTTTCTTAAGTGCTTGTGACAGTGGAAGTTTGTTGAATCTTGCTTGTGATATACCACATCCATTTACTTTTTAAATAGATGAAATATATATGAGATTAAATACTGTTTAAATTCAGAATGTTTGAGATAAATTCTGTTTCAGGAAGAATCTTTACTGATTTAGGGAACTATTCACAGTTAGTTGCTGGTACACTTACTAGAACCAAGACATTATATGTCACTTGGGTTCTCACATGTTAATGTCAGTCAGCCCCACAAAATATCATAAACAAAATATGATAAACAAGTTTCAAGGTTACAAAAGTTTCTGCATTCTCTTGCAACAAGACTGCCAAGAATTGTGCTACAGAGAGCTGAAGAAACATTTCCTGTTGTGAAAGAAAGCATGGCGAGTGTCTTGTGCTTGTATGCACAGACTAGAATTTTATTGTCATATGTCAGTTCTCTTAGCCAAAGAAAGTAAATATGTTGTGACAAGCTTGAATTTGTTTTCATAATCCATCTGGGGAGTTTCTTACACGTGTAGACATTATAACCGTTGGGCATATTATGTAGGAGAGTGACCAACTCAGGTAGAGTGATGTGGGTAGGTCATGTAGCACACATTCAAGAGTGGGAAATGCATACAAAGTTTTTGACAGCAATGCTAAAGAAGCAGACTACTTGGGAGACCTATGTGTAGATTAAAGGATACTATTAAGACAGATTTTAAAGAAATAATTTGAGAGGGTTTGTACTGGGTATGTTTGCCTCAGGATACAGAGCCAAGTTGGGGCATGTGTGAAGACATTAAGGAGCCCTTAGATGTAATAATTAACTCCATGGAGCTGAACCTTTCTTGATACTCTGTCAGTTGCATTTGCAACTGAAAAATTTTGCAGCATCTTAAGACACTTGAAAGTTCATTTCCACATTGACAAAAGTTCTCCCCACAGGTTCCTATGCTGAGCCAGATAAATCCAGTCTACACCACTCCATCCTGGTTGCAAGATCCATTTCAATATCCTTTGACCTATGTCTGGGTGTTGTTGGTGGTCTCATTCTTCCTGGCTTTCCCACGAAGATCCTATATGCATTCCTCTTTTCCCCCGTGCCTGCTGTATGCTTTTCCATCTCATCCCTTTTGACTTGGTCATTGTAATTGTGGTTGGCAAAGGATCATGTTATGAGGCTCCTCATTGTGCAATTTTTAGGAGTCATAGATATTTTCTGCTCTACTGCAGTGATCATTAGTTTCTCAACAAGGTTACTGTGCTTTGAACTCACTACCTTCTAATGATTTTCAAAGCTGTAGAGAAAATATCTGTACAAAGCAGCTGTTATGGGTTTGATGTAATGAAAAACAGTCACTGCATGGAAGGCAGATACCGTTTCATGTATGATTGATTGATAAAGATATGATTGTTTTACAGAGCTACACAAATACAGAGAAAGTTTTAGTGAGTCCATATGGTGAGACATACCCAGCATGTTGTAATGGAAATCAGGACATGAATATTAAAGTTGAAGAAGACTCGGACGCAGAAAAGGAAGCAGATCCTGTCCCAGTAACATTTCTAGAAGTGAAGGGTGAACCTGAGGTGAGCTGTATGTCTCTGTACGTCCATCTTTAGGCATATATCACAGATATGCAGAAATGCCAGTTGTCTTTCTGATCTCCCATCTCTGTCTGCATACATGAAAATTTCATCATGTTCTTCACTGGATTTTGAAGAGATTTTCTCAAATGTCTGAGACAACTTTAGTTTGTTGAATGTTCCTTCTGATTTGCCACTCCTGTTTTCTTTTAATAAGATCTAGCATAGATTAGATTAAATACTGTGTAAACTGAAAAATGTTTGAGACAAATTCCATTGCATGAAACATCTACCACATATCCCTTGTCCATCGAATCCAGTAAGCTGTCCTTTTGTACTACGTTACAGGATTTACAGGGTCTGCTGGTATTATTTAAATGTTAGTAAGGCACATTTTACATGGTAAGTGAAGTTTAACTACTACATGTTATACTTGGTGTTTCCCTGTTACTTAATTATTTGATTATTTGCTGCTAGTGAATATGTTATGAAACGGAAACCGGATGACAGTGTTTCAGGTTCTGCTGCTTTTGTTCCACTCTAAAATGGACTATTGATGTTTCATTTATGGCTCAACAGTGAAGTCCAAATTATCATATATCTTGTGTAAACACATTGCAGTCTGTAGTAAACTTGTGCCTTTTGCACCATGTATGTTGAAATTTTGCATGTGAGGAAACCTGAGAACATCCATTCTTCCTGTAGAAGAATGTCCTGTTCTGTACTCAGGTGGTGAAGTTTGCAACACAGGACTATCCTTACAGTGCAGTATTTCTACCTACATGCCATGATGGCTTATCACTGAGCTGGCAGACATATAAAGAAGCATAGGATGATAATGGTGGGAGTGTGATTTCAGAATAAATACCGGAACAATTAAAAGGTTTAAGAGAAACCTTCAGCAAAATTAATAAGGCTGTGGGTTATTTTGGTGCCATGATCCTTTTTGTGAAAATTCTGCCAAGGTTGAATTGAATTGGATGCTGTGTTATCAGGCTATAAAGAAATTTTACGAGCAAAAATGCGAGCTGGAACCAAAGGGCAGGTTCTTCGAGGTTTCAGTGTGCACTCTCACACCCACACAGGCAGAATGTAAAGTTATTCTTGTGTATACTTTGGAAGGTAATAAGAGGTATGAACGGTTATGTTTATATGTTAAATTTATGCAGGGTGTTCAATCAAGGAGGAATCTTCTCAACACTTGACCGAGCCCAATATTTCTCACAGATTGCTGCTGTTACTGTAACGGCACGCATATATCAGCGCTAATGACTCATTTTGTTATCAGCAGGTACAGTAGCAATCTGAGGAATGTTGGATTGGGTCAACGGTGTTGCAAAGTTTCCTCCTTAACTGAATGCACTGTATATGTAAAATATTGTTATTTCAGTACAGTGTAGCCGTTAATTTGGAATGGGTGCAGGAGTTGGTTTTTGGTTTGCTGAATTGCAGTTCCTTTTTTAAAATATGTTTACAGACACGTGTTAAACTCGAATGTAGCAGTCCTTATTAACTCTTGTTTACATTATGTGTTGTGGGTGAAAATCCATTCTTTATGGGGATTTGCTTCAAGTGGAACCTTTCCAGTTCCAATTAACCACTGATAACCAGGACCCACTATACCACAGTTGAATGCAGCAACCAGTGAAGCAGCGTTTTTTGGGAGTTTGTCAGCAGAACAATGTCTGATGGTAATGTTTCGGGTTTACTTTCTTGGTGTCCAGTCTTGTCATATCAAGACGTGTGGAGCAACAGACAGGATAACAAAATGCAGTTGGTGCAGCCATGTATTCCATCGTGGCAGTCATTCAGTTTCATCAGGAAGAAGGGAATCATGCATATATGCCTTTGAATGAGGCACAGTTGACTGACATGTATGCATTTGTTGTGAAGTGCGCCCACACCTGCTTCTACACAGTGTGATGTGCCCGTTACTACTTTTACACATCCGGAAGGAGTGCCCATGTTCTGACAAAAGCCAAACATTTTCATTCTGAATGAATATTGCATGGCATCCACGGAAGTGACTCACACGGATTTGTTCATGGTATTGGGGTGGCCATGTCTATTGAACTGACTCTATGCTGATCTTCTTTTTGAGTCATTTCATATATGTTGTTGTTCCAGCGGTTTCACTAGATCATATGAATCCTGTCTTACCATTATATTTTTACTCAGAATATATTATTGTCCCATTTTAGGATCCTATCCACTATTCATCAGACATATATACAACCTGAGAGCCATGATAGCGCAGTTGGTCTAGTGACTGGCTACTGGCTGAACAACCGAGGGGTCAGAATTCAAGTCCTGGTGGGGTCAAGAATTTTCAATTCTCCATGTCATCCATACCGCCTATGGGGTCCACC